AGCTCTAAAACAAGAGAGGGAGAGAGACATCAATCGACAGCGAAATAATCGATTTATCGATAATCGATAATTAATCGCTGTTTTCGAAAAGTGCTAAAAATGGCTAGTTTGACCACTAAAATCTTTTGAATGTTAGATTTTTTGGAGGTAGGACACGTTTTTTCAACAGAATCTCAAATTGCTGATTAATCGTAAACTAACAATCGATTAGACGATTAATCGGATAACTGTAAATAGATTACTGTAATCGATTATTATGCGCTCGACGAATTATTATGAATCGATAATCGGAACATGCCTAGTCTATGTTGTATCAGATTTTCCGTCAAAAAATGCCACCTGGCACCGAGTTTTAAAAATATCGAGCAAACAGGAGTCGCAGCTCGTACGATAAACGCTACTAGTCAATTTGCCTACGTTAGTGCGCCTTCAATCATGTCTGATACCGTGCAATACTTCCGAGGTGGAATAGTTGCTCAGAGCGCCTTCAAGCGTATCGCCTCGACTTGATGGCAGAAGATCACGACTGCCGCCGACATTACACCCCAGAACAAGTGGATTTACACATTTTCTCATCATCGACGGAGAGATGAAATACATCCATACCACAATTTGTAACTTTTTCACTGTCTATTTTGAACGGGTAGAAGAACGCGAACACTTAAAATCTGCCGTAGGTAATTTTTCCGAGATACGACAAAAAGCATTATTTGAATGTGCTGCTAGCGAGCTGATAATAACAATGACTGTTGAATTTGAATGTTTCATTTCAGTCTAATGTCTAAACTTTATGCTTAAATTAAACAGGAGAGTAAAAAGTCGTAGGTAGAAATCCTCGAACGAACAAAAACAGACTCGAAATGTTTTAACTCAGGACGTAGATGGGCCCGAAGAGGTAATACGGAAGGCACCGTAACGTACTAAGTGCCAATCACTGTTATTATCAGCTCGCTAGCAGCACATTCAAATGATGTATTTTGTCACATCTCGGAAAAATCACGGCAGATTTTAAAGTGTTCATATTTACTCATTTTTTATTCATTGAAAATACGCAGTGAAAAAGTTGCAACGTCGCAAATTGAGGTATGGACGTTTTTTTATCTCACTTTCGGTGATGAGAAAATGTGTAACTGCGCACGCGTTAGGGTGTAATATCAGCGGCAATCGTGATCTTCCGCCATCAAGTCGAGGCGATACTCCTGAAGGCGCTCTGAGCAACTATACCACCTCGGAAGTATTGCACAGTATCAGACGGAATTGAAGGCGCACTAACGTATGTAAATTCACTAGCATCCATAGAGTCCTATAGATCGTGCGATATGCGACTCCTGTTGAAAATGGAATAACAAATAAATACATGCTTTTAGCCCCAATCTGACAGACCTCCACGTCAAAAGCGCAAAACTACGTATCTCCGTCTCACTGGAAAAAAAAGTCGCTTGGATCCAGAGTCCAGACTCTTGAAAACGATGACAAGAAAAAATACTATTGATTTCATCGGATTTTTGCTTGAATCTAAAGGAAATCTGCTTAATTTAAGAGGTTTGGCTCTCGATTTAAGCAAAAATCCGATTGAATAAAGAGTATTTATTCTTGTAAATGTTTTTAAGAGTCTGGACTCTAGATCCAAGCGACTTTTTTCTTCCAGTGTTTGCAACGTTGCAGACTTCCTGTAATACTTTTCATTTTTCATTGGAAAACTAGTTGCTTAATTTCCTGATAACGTCTTAGATATTTCTTCTTTACGGGCAGAGTATTATGTGGAAATTTCAAGTTGAGCACCTTGGACTAAATTTTTAGGATCAAAATCGACAGTTCTTCGCGATCGGGCTGAAATGATACTAGCCCCCTCGGAAATGACCCGCTGAGTCCGATTTTCAGGTCTACAATGCTCCACGAGCTCATTCGAGCTCACAATCAGCGGATAAGTGGAGCAGTGCGAAATGGTTAAAAACGGTCGAAAACTCTCTTTTCTCGGCTCAGGGAGCTCCGGCGAGCCTCGGGACCGGGCGCAATCGATTCTACGCCTCAAACTACGTTTGATTCGACACTAATCTCGAAATTTTTTTCCTCGTCCAAAATCGACAAAAATCGACAGGGGTTACATGGACTAACTTTTGAGGGTCAAAATCGAAAGTTCTACGATCCGGCTGAAACCGAGCTAGGCCGCTTGGAAATGAGCCGCTGAGTCCGATTTTCCGGTCGGAAAAGCTCTGCGAGTCCGCTGGACCGCGCTACTGACTAAAAACGCACTTTTGCAATAGGCTCAAAAACACTCGTTTTCGACCGTTTCGCGGCTCTGGAGGTCTCACCGCGCCTCAGGACCATGCGCAATCGATTCAGCGCCTTCAACTTCATAGGATTCGACACTAATCTCGAAATTTTTTTCCTCGTCCAAAATCGACAAAAATCGACAGGGGTTACATGGACTAACTTTTGAGGGTCAAAATCGAAAGTTCTACGATCCGGCTGAAACCGAGCAAGGCCGCTTGGAAATGAGCCGCTGAGTCCGATTTTCCGGTCGGAAAAGCTCTGCGAGTCCGCTGGACCGCACTACTGACAAAAAACGCACTTTTGCAAGAGGCTCAAAAACACTCGTTTTCGACCGTTTCGCGGCTCTGGAGGTCTCACCGCGCCTCGGGACCATGCGCAATCGATTCAGCGCCTTCAACTTCATAGGATTCGACACTCATATCGAAATTTTTTTCCTCGTCCAAAATCGACAAAAATCGACAGGGGTTACATGGACTAACTTTTGAGGGTCAAAATCGAAAGTTCTACGATCCGGCTGAAACCGAGCTAGGCCGCTTCGAAATGAGCCGCTGAGTCCGATTTTCCGGTCGGAAAAGCTCTGCGAGTCCGCTGGACCGCGCTACTGACAAAAAACGCACTTTTGCAAGAGGCTCAAAAACACTCGTTTTCGACCGTTTCGCGGCTCTGGAGGTCTCACCGCGCCTCGGGACCATGCGCAATCGATTCAGCGCCTTCAACTTCATAGGATTCGACACTAATCTCGAAATTTTTTCCCCCCTCCGAAATCAAGAAAAATCCGTGGGGGTAAGTTTATAGTTGACTTTAGTTTCTCTTCGTAAAAATAAAATAGGAGCAGAAATTGTGAAACACCGAAATGGAGATACGTGGTTCTGCTTTTTAGCCATTGATATAATATGTCTTTCTCTTGATTTTTATTACATCCTCATCTAACACATTCACGGTAGAAGTTTGCAACCACTTATCTCGGTTTGCACCGTGGTACTTTTTAAATGGAAAACTACTCGATGGCAGTGCCTAAAAACTGCCGTGGTTTTTCTCCTCTGTGCGAAAATTATTTTAAAGAGTAATGTCTATTTGTTCGTATTTAAAAAAATAAATTAGGAGCAGAGATTTTGAAACATCGAAAACGAGATACGAGCCTGGCTCGTACCTGGTTGCAGGGTCGGATTTACCTACTTGCCGCCCATGAGCCGCCTGTATTTTGCCGCCCCCTTCTCATTCGTTTTGAGACATCGATACAAACCATCAAGTGAACGTGCCGGAGGAGGACGGGTGCATAAGACGCGCTTATTCGTGTTTGACACATTTTTAGTGAAAGTCCTGTCAACAATAGCCAAAGTTCACGGAACTTAGCACGAAAGTTAAGTTCCGTCAATCGATCTCTGTGTGGACAAGGCCTTTCATTTATAGGAAATGAACAAAAAAATTATGAAAGAATAAGCATGAATGTGGTCCTTAAATAATTTTAATTTCCACCTCCGCGCCAATCGCACTGTGTTTGGTGCAATGCGTGAAGTATCCCTACAGTCTCGTAGGCACTATACGTTTCACACCGACCGCCGCTGCGCTGACCGCACTGTTTTTGACGCAATGCCTGAAGTATTCATGGAGTCTTGTAGGCGCTAAATATATGTTTCATGCTGACCGGCGCGCCGTAGCAAACGCGTCCCATTGTTTATTGTTACAGACGAATATAATTTGAGAGAGGCCAGTCGTAATGCCTTCAATTTCATTCATACACATTTTTGGGCAAAGTGAGAGACGACGTTTCTCCATTTGCGCCGTTGCAGACTTTCTTAGAAATTTTATTTTTCTTTCGAGAAGCTGGTCAACATAGGACTTAAATTTTCCATGATTTTCCGTATTCGATAGCAGAAGATTTGGTTCAAAATTTAAAGTCGTAAATTTCGATTGTTTCTCATGGAAGAGATAAATTAAGAACGGAAATTTTGAAACACAGCAATAGAGATACAAGGTTTCGCACTTCAGGCGGACCGATACGGACATCCAGCTGTATCCAGGATTTTTTCTCATGCGCAGCCGCTACATAAAAAAAACCGCAAAAAAAGGCCTTTTTAGGCCATTTTTTCAAAATGGCGGAAAATGCTCACCAGATACGCGGTAGGAAACCTCAGATTCGGATTCAGCGACCCAAAAAACATCAAGTATGAGCCAAAAAAATCGCTGTGTACCCAAAATTCCAGGTAGCCTCATTTTTAGCTACCAGGCGCCTGGACTATCTCAAAAATTCAAGTTTCAGAAATGCTTAGTTTGCTGCTTAAAAAATATCACATGAGAGAAAATTAGCCAACCTCTTATGTAGTTGGGCTTAATTTGGGTAAATTCATCCATTCGTTTTCAAGTTTAGAACTAAACTATGGAAATTTTAAGACATTTTGATTGAGATGGTGGTTTAGGAGCATTGCCACTGATTGTGAGTTAACTTGTCGCTCAACTTAAGTCTATCCAGTCAAGTCTATCCATTTTAAATACCAGCTAGCTAGATTCTAGAAAATGAGATTTCTCATTGTATTTAATTTTAATATCATTCAGAGTTGAAAAAATGTGAAAGAATTTTAAAAAATTATCCCACAAAAAAAAAAAAAAAAAAAAAAAAAAAAAAAAAATTAAAAAAAGGTTGAATTTTTTTTCACAAAAAGTGGCAAACATTCAAATCATCAAAAGTTATACCAAGCCATATAAAGAGTGACTGAATACAGCATGAATTTTAAAGAAGTAAAAAAATAATTTTATTCCAAAAGAGTGCGGAATTCAAACATTGGCGGAACATACAGTCAATAAAAAAGTTTTGAGTTGAAAACCATAAATAATTTCAAAAAAGATAAAGAAAATAACAAACAAGAGTAAGATCAGATCTTATAAAAAAACAAGCATGATCGAACACACTCAAAGATTACAAAAATTGGACGGATTCGTAATCAAAAGTGAATGCATTTTAGAAAGGCGACAAATCCGGTCCCTCCAAGATGAACTTCACTAGGCGTCATCAAAAAAATGTTCAGATACATTGGTCATTTTTTTTTTTGGAAGACTGAACAGACTTCCTTTATTGATGGCTAATTGCAAAAAAATGCTTACCCCAATGGATCACTACACAGGATCTGAACTATGAAAAAACATAAAAAGTTTTCTCTTCAAAACTTTGCGTGGACAATTATTCAAAAAGTGGAAATTTCGAAAATCAACTCCTGAATGAGTTAGTAAACAGTATTTTCAACACTGATTAGACTGAAATTAGGTTATAAAAATGACATTATTTGTGCTTCTGATATTTTGCTAAAGTTATAAAAATGACATTATTTGTATATTTCTGATATATTGACAGGGTCAGTTGTAAACACTCACCAGCTTTCCAATTGTTTGATTCATTATCCTCATGAAAGAGGATTGCAAAATTTTAATAAAAATAAAGTCAAGAAATTTCACATGAAATATTTCATGAAATTTCAGAAATAGATGAAAGATATAACTCTATTCACAGATTATCAGCTCAGGCTGAATAATTATCGAAACGCTGACGACGTCGTTTAGAGGCATTAATGTTTTACACTCATGTTCCCCATATGATAAGAAATAAAAATCAAGAGTTACATAAAAAAACTGAGGATTTTTTTTGTGTCGATAGGTGTTTCCAGTGCGGGTTGCATACCCTACTCCTGAAATGAGCGTTTCAAATTTTTAAAAAATTTCTCAGTCTCGTGAGATTTCATGAAATATTTCACAAAATTTTTCAATCTTTCTAAAGTTCCTTTATTTTTCATGCCACCTTGTCGTGAAACATTGAAGAGAAAACATGTTACGTAATATTTTAATTCAGGCCTTGTTGGAGAATCCTTTGACAAATATGATGGCTATAATAAAACGCATTCACTTTTACAGATCTATAATTTATCACAAGGAATGATACAAAATTGCGAACTGATGCGACAAATACACCAGTATAATAATCTGGAATGGACGGAGGGAGAAGAAAGTAGGCAGAGCAGATGTGTTCCTGGTATATCCGTCTGGAAGAGAAGAAAAATTCCTGTCCGATATCAAAATTTGTTAATAGTTTCAAATTTTCACATCAAACGAAACCAGAGTGATAATGGTTGGAAAGGTTCAGTTTAAAAAATAAATTTTTTACAAAAAAATACTTGAAAATCTGATATGCCATGTTCAGAGGACAAAATCGCTGGCTAATACTGACGTGCTGAGGCAAATCGCCGTACAAACAATAAAAAGTTTCCAGATTTCCTCTGCTAAAATGCTAATTTCTGAGAAGAGGGACAAATATTATTTCTTGAAATATTCAGATTGTTTAGATCTGATTACAAAGAAGATTTTTCCTCCAAATTTGCAGAGGTTTTTGTTGGCAATCAGATCTAAATTATCTAAAAATTTCAAGAGAAAACATTCATAGCTCTCCTCAAAAATTAGAATTTTGTTGGAGGAAATTCAGCAACTATCGAATGTTCATACGGCATTGTTCCTTGGCATGGCAGTAATGTTCTTATGACCAAGAGGTTAAATACTAGGGGTAATTACAGAGAAGACATAATTTGTTTAAAAAAAAAAAATCAGGACATTTCCAAACTAAAAACAAACCTTAAACAGTAAGAAGTCCTCTAAATATATTCATGCTTAAATTAATACGGAACATTAAAAGAGTAGCTTCAAAAGAATAGAGATTTAGGAGAGGAAAATTCTCTGAGGAAAAATCATTAATAAATTGTTACTAGTGTATCAGTCGGCATTAATCTGTTGCATTTACCATTGCTTTAGTAAGTAAGTAAAAAAATAAACACTGAAGGGTTCGAAAAATTTCATAAGGTAGCATTTAAAAAAAATCTTATTTGTAGATGACAAATTTCAAGTGGAAAAAAAGAAATAAATTTTCGACCTGATGGATTAAAGCAAATCCAGTACTGATTGATCCAGTTGAAAGCATTTCAAAGACGGAAAGAGTTTCATTTAATGGTAGCAGCAATCGATTATCAATTGGACAGAGTGCAACAAAGTAAAGCTACATCACATTAAATCTGAACAGAGGGGAACATACCTACCCAAACGTTTTTTCAGGAAAGAACTCCACGTAAAAAATGAACTTTTAGTCCACATTTATGTGGTACTATACGAATTGTAGATTTGTAATTGAAAAATACAATCGAATATGTACGAATTGTAAATCTAAAAGAAGAAGGTAAAAAAGGCGATTCAGATCTACGATGGGCACATGGAATTCTGTTGAGAAATTTAAGTGATAATCGTGACCACTTCCTAATAAGAAAAAAATAAAAAAGGTACTCCTGATGGACGGTAAAATCTCTCACTAATGAGTGAGTATGTACACAGTACTTAAGCTCTACGAAGTAAAAGCCCTTAATCTAAATTGCACAGCGTCAATACGATAGGCAATAATAGTAGGCTGCTAAAATGAAAATATTACAATAAAACATAAAACATTAGATTTCTGGCAACGCGTGAATAATAAAATTTCACCCGGCAGACGTACATATAATATATAAAAACTGCGCAGAATTTTGGTTGTAATTGCTGTACTAAAAGGTGCGCAAAACGGTGCATGATAAAACTATTAATCTATGGCGGGAGTTCATTGACCCTTAAAAATTGGAATGAATGACATGGCCAGACAGAATGACCCTTTTCTTGCGATAACAGCAAAGAAAAGGCAGAATTCTTCACCAATTTTGAAACTCCCATTCAAAATCAGAATTTTAGCCTGGCTATGATAGCCAAAGAATGTCTTCGATGCAAAATTGACGATTCAATTGAGTTTAAAGTGATTTGACATCGGTTGGACTTCCAATGCGCTTTCTTGCTGTGTGGATATTACTTTATTGCTTTTGTACTTAGGCATTTTTTCCATTTTGGAAAAAACAAAATAAACTGGCGTTCCAGTGCAAGAAATGAAAACAGCATATTGATGGCTCACCCTCAAAATTGCACACCTCAAACGCAACCTGTCAAAATTTCCAAGCTTACTTGACTTTTTAAACAGAAAATAAAATCAACATTTTGGTTTGAAATTTTCACCATATGGTTGATTCATTAATTGTTTCCAACATTCTAAGAGCATTCTAGGGTCATCCTGTAAAAATTTCAAATCTCCATGATGAAGTGTTTTCTCCACATAAAATAAGGTAAACAGAAATTTTGAAAGCTTGTGTTTGAGGTAAATGATTTCGAAGTCATCCATCTGAGAAAGTTAGATAAATTAGTAAAAGCAAAAACAAATACTTTTCTTGGTCTATGGTAAGGCACTGATTACCTTGTATTTTTTTTCGACTTAAGGCAAGTTTTGGTTCGAACCGAGCTTAGTCACAATTTAAATGTAGGGCTAGGCAAGCCTGATTTTTTTTAGTTTGAGCCAAGTTTGAGTAATATTTCACTATTTGAAGCAAAGTTCAGCTTGTTCGAGCTATGAAAATGGCCTTTGAGTCCAGTTTGAGTAACTTTGAGTTTTAACACATGACTTTACAATCGAAAAATGATGGAAAACTAAGAATAGTGATAGTATGATTAAAATAATTGAGAGTTGGACTCTTTTGGCATGTGCAGCTCAAAAAAGCTCGAAAAACACGAAAAAACTTGCGTTATCGGCACTCGCGCCGAGAACTCCATACTTGGCTCAACTCGACTCGAAATTCAAGTACTCGCATAGCCCTTTTAAAATGGCTTGGCCATCAAGGAAAAACTTTGATTGATCATCTTTGGAGAGAAATTATCATAAAATTTTTTGGATGGAATAAGCACCCATGTAAAAAAAATGAAAGAAAGACTGTCAAGCTTACAGGCAGGTCGGTTTAAGGTCGATGGATTTTTTCCAGTACAGATTACTCACTCCTGTGTTCCAACTAGTATAGTTCCAGGTACGTTTGGTGTAGATTTGATCAGTTCTGTTTCTGGGACCTCGGAACATACTCTAAACGGAACAAAATGGCTCCTCAGAAATATCTCAATTACCAGTTGCAAGATGCGAATGCTACTGACGCAATGAGCAGAAGAGTACTTGATGCTATGCTGGTCGCATCACCGTGCCGAGAGTTCCCGCAAGCTGGTGGACAAACTGGGTTTGAAGTTTCTGAAAATTTACAAATAAATGGAAAGTTATTATTTAAATCTCTGAATGCAGGAGGAGGACACCAAAGTTTGAGATTTTTATTTAATATTCTGAAAGTATCAAGTTAGTAGATTACGTTAAGATTTAATGCGGATTTTTGGAGCGCAAATCCTGGACAAACCCGCTTCTAAAGAGACTCGAAAGAATTTCAAACGCGCCAGAATGGAAGGAAAATTATGGAAGTGATGTAATTTTGTTGATTTTTCCCCAAAAATCGATTAAATCGAAAAAATTGATTATCAAGAAAATCTTTTAGAAAAAAATCGATTTTCAGGAGAAGTATTTTGTTGTTTGTTCATCTTAAATTCTCACCTTACTGACAGTTGAGTTTTCTTGTGCCTTGAATTGGAGCAATGTTGATGACCTTCTTTAGTTTTGAAGAATAATATAAGCTTTCTAAAATTCTGATTTGTGAGTAAAAAATTAATCCAATTTAATCGTTTATTTTGTGCACACAATCGATTTCTTCCGATAATTGAAAAAAATAAACAACAATAAATTATGTACTTTGGCAGCCAGATTGCTATATCTTTACTACAAATAACTGGAATGAGATTCGATTCTTTAATTCTGAAGATTAAGTTTGCTATTTATGGTTTCGACTTTCCTGTTGTTTTCATACACAGGAAGTGCTAAATAAGACACCTGACAGAAGTTGTAGAAACCTGTGTTTGCCTTGGACTGGTGTCGAGTGACATAATTTGATTTGGCGCAAAACCGGGGCGTTTTGAGGTTTCTCGTTTTGAACTGAGTTTTTCTCTGTTTCTAAGTTGCTTTTTTGCGCATTTACTGTACACACTATGTTCTATGCTTTATTTACCTTTTTTTTCTTTTTTTCACAGTATATTTTCAAGTTAAAATTCATTCATAGTTTAGTGACACATTGATGACTTGTTATTGGTTGGACATTGATGCATTTAATAGCGCAGTGACAAGCAAGGGAACAGATTTTTACACCCCACACGTGACTTTAGGAGAGGAAACAGAGGAGGCTAGCTCATTCTCAAAGTAGTTCCAGCACCAATTCGTCTCTGTCTTCTTTCTGGACTCAAATTACAGGAAAATTTTTTTGAAAAAACTTCCATCCGCCTTTAAAGTGCTTTTTCTTAATACCTTAATTTTCCTGAGCTCTGAGATTTAGATTTAGTTAGTTAAACAAATTTTCAGAGGCAAAATTCAAGAACATGTCCTGGAAAATCTTCATGAGCAAGTTATCATCATGACTTTCGGTCAAGAAAGTGTAAATGAAAGTTTTGATGCTCATTACAGCTTGAGATAATTCAACTAGACTTTCAACGGGGAAAATATGTTGACAGGGGTGAGTGGCACTCATTAATTTAAATTTTCTTTTTGGAAGTACGGAGTGAACTAAGCTCCTGGGAATTTTTACAGATTTTTTTTGACCCTGAATGTCAAAGAAACTTCTTATAGAAACTGCCAAAAATGACATTCATTAGAAATAATGTTATTGGCAGGTTTTGATGGCGTTCTTAGATTGGCTGAACTCAGTTTCAGGCACAGTCGGCTTTTGATTAGCTTTTTCTACTGCTACCAACGTGCCGCTCTGTAGCGCTTGTGCACTCTGCAACATCCAACCGCCACTGATAGCAATCCTACCGAAGCTCCTCCGATAAATTACATCTCCTCATTTCCTGCCTTATTCCATCCATCAGAATAAAAAGTATAGGAAAAGTATAGTACATAAAAGTAAAGGCGTCGAAAACATCATACCTAGCGCACAACATTTTCACGAAACAGCTTGTCTGGTGTGGGCATTTGCAAAGGATGCCCGCTGATAGGTTGCCTAAGACGGTTTTGGATTGGGTTCCCGTGGCAGAAAACGAAGAGAACGCCCTGCCAAATCATGGATTGATTGAACAAGGCAGGAGATGAGGAGATTAGCTTTTCCTCCTTCCAGGAGGACGACATTTATTGAAATTTTAATGAACTTTTTGGTTTTTTCACGAAATTTTACGCGCTCAAACTTTTACTACTAACTTGCAATAATTTCTAACCTCTACCCCCATTTGTTTGTTCAATCTCAAAAAGACTCAAGCAGAAATTTGAATTTTTTCTTCCTTTCACTTCAATTTATATGATAATTTTTGAAGTAACTACAATTAACTTTTCAGTTGTTTTTTTTTAATGTCTTGATATATTTGAGCTCTGAGATTTAGAATGGGTGGAGTTAACAGTTTATACCTTTTATGGGTTGTGTTTTTGTTTCTAGCGCTTAGGCTCTTTTTAAGAATAACTGATTCAATTGCTTCTGGGTGTGAAAAGAGCACTTGCAAAAGTATCCTCATTCCTCACACCATTCTAACTGATTTTATAAATGAGCTTCATAGTAAGTTTCAACATTCCCAATGGGGTAGCGCCACAGAATTTTTGCACGGTTGTAGTAAAAATTTTCTGATGTAAAGCTTTGTAAAAAAATCAAAATAAAATAATTTCTACGGGGGAAAAAAGCTAATCAAAATCAAGCCAATCAAAAGCCAACTAATTAATATGTTCATCAATAAATGGCTAAAATCAATATTAATGTTAGCAATTTTCTTAGTTATTAGAATGACAGTGTGAACTAGATATTTCATTGAAGCTCCTTACAAAAATTAGAGTTGATAAACCTTACAACAGAATATAAATTAGTGCGTAAGGGACAAATCCGTTATTAATCATACTGAGCATTGATTTGTCTCCTGTGCATATTTTTGCTGCCACTCTAAAAGTAAGTTACTTAATTTTTCAAAGACTAATGGCCCATTCAAACAGGAATTACACGGTCCAAAAAAAAAAAAACCTGTCACTTCTATTTGTTGCAAAAACATCTCTTTATGAAAATGATTCAAAGAAAGAGATACGGTCCTGTGTGAAAATTAATTACCGTATAAATCGATGTACGCTTCACTTTGACCCAGCTTGTTTACCGCTTTACACATATACCGCCCGTACTGTCGTCTTTCTACGGACAGAATTCTGATTCTAGCATCCGTGAAATCAGTTCCGACACCGGCTTGCGAGATGCTGAAAAAAAAACGGTGCGTAAGAAACAAAATATTAAAACAAACAGCATAAAGTGAGTCTATACTAAAAATAGACAATTACTGAGGAAAATTGAGGTATTCAACTAAGTCTCCACAATTACTGTCCTTGTAGTTAAGCTTACTATAATACTTACAAAATAATCATTTCAAACTTTCATTATTAGAACCAATAAAATAAAAACTAAACAAATGCAAATCTTGGTTTGCCTGGAATACTACATTCTTTGAAACGAAAAAGACTCAACATCATTTCTCAAACGCTTCCCAGATTTTTCTTCTCTATATGAAATATGTTCAATAAAAAAGTTCAAGCAATAGCGTTGATTGGTTCTCCTTTGATCAAATAAAAAAGGATCAGAGATTTTGAAAATTGCAGATGAGCGGGGGCTAGAAAATTCTTGACTTTCATGTAAATCAGATTACTTTCACAACAATACTCTGTTAGTGAAAACATGTAGAGCAATGGCGTGGCATGCTTTGCGATATATCGATTGATCTGACATTTAAACATATGAAAAAGGATCGATAAACAGGGTGTTCACCACAGACACCTTAATAATCGATTCTTTGCCATAGCTTCAAATGGTATAACATCGATAATCGATCACTCGCGCCTCGCCGCTGGTGTAGAGCATAGATAAGACCCAACATTTACAAAAAAGTAGCGCGTTTTGTTGATTTCTTCAGTAAAAAGAACTTGTCAGACGGCCTATTCCACTAAAATCAATGCCACCTCCTGCTTTTGGGGAACTGAGAAGAAAATTTGTAAAATAAATTAAAGAAAAAACCTGGACTGCTTTCACAAAAAAATTCTTGTTTTTGACGTTCCACTGTCGATGTAAAGTTCAAAAGACATTAAATATCCATTTATGATTGATTTCGGTTATTAATAAACTAATTAAAATTGCCTATCAATTGTCTGTTGTTACCAGCTAGACTTGATAAAATTTTTGAGGGCATTAGACTTTTGGATGGAGAATTAACACTTCTAAACAAGCTCAAAACTAACCTTGGTCCAGTTTTTTGAAAGTATAAACTAAATTGTTCTCAATTATTTCTTCTGCAAGGATACTAGATACTAGAAAAAGTTTTCTGTTGAAACCTTAAATTCCCACTTTCGTTAAAAAACACTAATATCTTTTTTGAGGGTTGATTTTCAGACTTTCAATGGTATAATTTGCTTTTCTCGTGAAATTTTGAGAGGAAAACATGCTGTGTAGTTCTTTTAATTATACTTTGTCCAAAGATCCATTGTCCTTATTTGTTGTTAACTGACATTGGCCAATGTGCTAAACCACATATCTTCATCATGGTGTTTCAAGATTTATGCTCCTATTTTATTTTTTTTTAATAGAAACAAACCAGTTTCATAACTTGAAATTTATGCAGTATATTCTACCAAGCGAGAAGAAAAGTCAAATAAGTTTTCCAGAAATTACGATGACTGGTTTTCAGGCAAAAAAAATAAAGGATGACATGAAGTCTGCAACAACGCAGACAGAGATAAGCGGTTTCGCTCTTTGGCTATCAATAGGATCATGACCTGTACCGGATGGCTCCTTCCTACTAATTGGAAAAAAAATAAATAAAAAATGGAGACATACCTGTAGTGCTGGTTGCTGGAAAGCTGCACTTCATCTTTAATCCAGACAATTGCTGGGAGGGGATACGCTTCAACATGGCACTCCAAATCCATATCGAACCCGAGCGCCTGACCAAGATGAGACCTTTGAATGGTAATGACAGGAGGAAATTCGACATCGACGCTGATACGCCTTGAGGTTCCCTTTCCCACACCATTGTCTGCAACACAGTAGTATGTCCCGCGATCTTCTTTGTGAATTGCCGGAATTTTCAAGATGTTACCCCTGAAAATTAGTTGATTGTAGAAAAATGGTCATGGTAGTAAATAATGACACACTGCATCCCAAATAAAAAACTTTGAGCAATGAATTTCTCCTGATAGATTATTTACATAAAGAAATTTTTGCTGTCATGGACCTCGGTAATGAATTCAAAATTTTTCCCCAAGAAGAATCCTGCCTTCATTTTTATAGACTTTACAAATTTTTTTGACAAGAATGATTCTTAACAATCCTATGCAAGGGCTTTCATCCTTTTTTGGCTACAAAGTCAAAATTGGCCAAGATTTTAAACTAAAATTATCACTTTTTAAACTATTATTATTTTAGTTACATGTCGTCCATTGATATTTTCAATGTTTATATTTCTCAATTTAAGCAATCTGTTAAAGATAATTTCAATCTGTTCTAATATTTCCCTTATTACCATATTTTATCTTTCCATAATTCTATCACCTTATCTTAGTCACTTGTTTTACTTTTAGTTAACCTTCTGCTGCCTGCTTGTTATGCTTCTGTCTAATTTATTTGTTATTGTGCTTTGCCTGTTGGAAAAGAATGTAAATAAATAAATAAAATGGTGCACACCGGTTTGAACACAATAGGAGTCCCGGACGAATTTCCTTAAGTTTTCAGGGTCTTAACACAATTTTAGAAGAACAGTTCAAGACCTATTCTTTACTATCTAGGCTTGTTTCTGAATATGGACTAAAGTTTGCTACATCAGTCTAGACACTAATCAGTAATCCCACGACACTAATTCCAACTGGACTGAATTTTGCGATAAAGGCCTACCATTTCTGGCTCATCCATGAAAACACATACTTCATGGGGAAACCAATGGCACAAATGAGGGATTTGGAGGACAAGACGCATAAGTGCACTTTTTGAAAAAATCGAGATATTAATGATTGCTAGTAAAACTAGTCTTAATCTTAATGCATATTCTAGGAAAAATATGCTCCCAAATTCCAATTTTTAAGCATTAAAAAATCAGTTTGAACTTCCTTTCCGCCGTTAAGTTCCATGTAATTTCGAAACTTCAACACGCATTTCTTAAAATAGTAAAAACTGCACTTATGCGCCTTGTCCTCCAAGCCTCTCAAATGTTGTTCCTAAACTGAACCTGAAATAGTCGTTTCTCATTGCAAAATTTTGTCCAACTGTGCCTCCTTCCACTAAGGTTTCTTATCAAGGGCGAGGTGTGAATGATGGATTATTGATATTTCCCCATTTGAAGCTATGGTGGAGAGTCGATTACTAAGGTGTCCATTGTGAACACCCTGTTTATCGATCCTTGCATTCATAAATAGCAGCTCAATCGATACATCGCAAAACATGCCATGCCACTGTTCCTCATTCAATGGATAGTGGATGGTCACGAAAAGGTTAAACATACCTGTAAACAGAGCCACCAGTGGGCAGAATTGCGTTGTTTTCTCGCCTCCATGATATTTTAGGAGTCGGGAATCCGGTGGCATAACACTCGAGATCTGCGTTCTGGCCTTCACTCCGAACCACACCCAATGTAGAGTTATCCGATATTATCGGAGGTCGGCGAACCATCAGCCACACGTCCGACGTCAACTTGTTCGCCAAGTCGATGATGACCTGGCATTGGTAGAGTCCAGCATCTGATTCTTGGATGTCTTTGATCTGAAAAATTAGAGAGGGGCTTTTTATTTGTCACTGACATTACACTTCCACTCTTAAGAGGGTTAATTACCTATTTGAAAAGAAAAAATTAAAAAAAAACCTTTAACTAGAGTTACCACGATTTCTCCTTTTTCGATTCCCTGACGTTTTTCGCTTTTCCCGGACTCTATAATTTCTGAATTCCTAGACCTTAAAATAAAATTCTACTTGGATTTCTTTGTATCAACAACACTAATTTATGTGAAATGCTACTCGCAAAAATCCCTGACTTTTCCAGGTTCCCATAAATTCCCTAACTTTCCCTGATTTTTCAGACCGCTGGCAACCCTGTTAAACCCATATGTGAAGGATCCCCTTATTCTCCTCTAGAATTTTATAAAAAAAAAGAAACCTCAGATTGAGCTATACTGAAAAATGGAACGTCGGGAAAGTTACACATCTTGGACATACATTTTAGGGAACTACTTAAGAAATAAATTTCCTCATCAGACCGTGATCCTAATACAATTATGACTGTACATAGAGGTTTAACTTGAATAAAGTTGGTAAAATTGATGTCAAGTAAAAGATTTTTAATGAAATTTTAAAAGTTATGTCCGTTTTTGCCGTCACAGACATTGCATTGTCTGTTCCACTCAACTAAATTTCCTCCACACGAGAAATGTTTTTCATAAAAAATAATTTGCTAACTACTTTCTTGGTTGCTTCTGTCATTTCAGTACCACAATAAAAAAAGGAATAATTTATTTTGCCATGAACATAGGTTTTTGACAAAATACAGTCATTTTTTTTCACTTCGGAATCCTCTAAAAGAAAAAAATACTCCACTGTAGGATGCAGTTCAGCTGATGTTCACTTGCACAGAAAAAATTAATTTGCTGATTTAACAATTCAATTTCTGAAAAAAGTGACTGCAATGTTTCAATGTAGATTTTACAACAAAAAAATGCTACTTTAACCACCCCTGTGGTTAGATTAGCTTACAATAGTGGTTAAAGCATAATTTTTTTTGCTGAAATCTACGTTGAAATATTGCGGTCACTTTTTAAGCCATTGAATTGTTAAATCAGCAATTTAATTTTTTCAGTATGGTGCTGAATGATCAGTCATCCTGCTAAAATCGTGTTTGCCACTTTCCAATAATGGTTGAAGACATCCTTGGACCTAGTCTTTTTGGGGACTTGACCGTCTTTAGAATGAACGAATATGAAGATAGGTAAACTGTTCTAATCTGACATTTTATTATGAAGAGTGAGGATGATTTTTACTTTCTCACTTCCCTAGTTTTTAAGTGGATGTAGGTATTTAAATCAAAAGGAACTATATCCATTCTGACAAGAGTACAGAGATTTGTAAGAATACATACCTGGCACGGTCCATACCACAATGGATACATTTCCTTTTGATTTCAAATATGTGTAATTAAAAGCAACACCATCCTCATTGACCTTTGTTTTTCTACTTCTTCCATTAATTTACTCACCAAAATTGATTGGACCGATTAAACGAAAATCGATCTCAGTAGGTAATTGCATTTCTTATTTTTCTAGACTTTTACGTTTGTGCGACTCACTTGCAAGGTGTACGTTGAGCTCGACACATCATGACGTAGAGCGAATCGGCTATCCCTTACGATGAGTGAACTTCCACTCGAGATGGGCAGTTGCTCACTCCCTCGGAGTCGATCGACTTTGACCCAAAGGATTGGATACTCTTGGGCGTACTGTACGGAACATTCCAGCTCGGCGATACCTCCAACATCTTTGATCTGCTCGGGCGAAATATGTGAGATAGTTGGAGATCTTTGACAAGTAACTGAAATGAGCAAGAAATACAAAAATAAGTATCTCACAGCACAACTGAGCCAAATTGGGCACACTTTTTGGTTCAACACCATCACCAATTTTGGAAGTTTTGAGTAAAACAAAAAAAATCCATAAAATAATATATGTTTATGGAACTTAACTTTTGCTAGTATGGACAAGGCTTTCACAAAAAATGCACCCAACACAGGTAAACGCGTCTTACGCACACACCCCTCCCTCCCCTCCAGCGCAACTATTTAATGGTTCTTATTGATGTTTTCAAACAGATGAGCTGCAAAATACAGGTGGCAAATAGGTTGATTCGGCCCTGATTCAAACAGGATCAAACTACAGGCGCCTTTCCTGGGGTGCTAGATTTCAAAATCCTAACCTAAAACACGAACAGAACTTGACGCAGATATGCCATTAGACACTCATCACTCACTTGTAATGTCAAACTCATGTAGAAAATCAACACTGTGGACAGCCTGTCAAATGAGACATAGATGGGCATACGCTGTGAATCATAGAATAGTGTATCATCCAGATGTAAGCAATCCAGTTGAATAACCAAAAAACCTGTTGCGCATCACACCGAACAGGTGGTTGAGAGCACATTATATAGAATGAGAAGCTGATATTTAGCTATTGATACAGAATGGATCAAATATGCCACATGAGCAGTGATGCTGGCAAAAACTCATAGCTTGATTTTCGTACTCATGTTCATTCAATTCATTGCGAAATCAAGCAAATATCTGACACTTTCGGATGAGGTGAGTTGGAGCCATTTAGAAAAAATCTTGTGCGATAAATGTTCGAAATATACAAACCGGCTGATAATTTGGTGGGTGAGTGCTGATTGTAGTTGATGGTGAAGGAAAAATGTTATTTCAGGAGAGGTGATTTCGTTTCAAAACACAGTGAGTTAGAGTTGAGATGCTAGGATACAAAATTAACTTACCATAACTAAGAATAAACAGCAGAGTGACCACTGTGACACATGTTGATTGTATGCTCATTTTGATAAACTGGTAAAAAAAAATATTCCGGCTACAAAATACCTAAAAACTACATGTAGAAATTAGAAAATGAAAGTTTTATCGTCACACCCCGCTTTCGTAAACATAGCATTAGCATCAAAACAAACGCACTGCAGCGCTGTCTACGGACTCTACGGTGGGAAAAGGAACTACGATCGGAAACGGGCCAATCGAACGCTTCTTGAGGCTACGCAGCTTTTTAATTGGTTCACATTTTTCGGCGGGAAAGGTTCTAAATATGTACCTACTGATTTGCGAAATTGCGACCGCCTCAGACGGAGTTTCGGCTTGAAACTTGGAATACCGATCCAACACAACTTCCTGCCTTGAACTTTAATAAAGTTTCTTTAAAAAAAAAAACAGTTTTTTCCTTAAAAACTGGCGCTTGTGATACGGACGCACATCAAATTTAACGGAGTATCTTCCATATTTATTCATTTTTAATCGAAAAAAGAGTATTATTTTCACAAGTAAATGCATATTATTAATTCAAAAGCATCCATAACACAATTTCAATACAAACAGCGCATGTGATAGGTACTCCAGCCGGAAACTCAGAAAGTGACAAATTGCTCCAGGTCATTCCAAGGTGTGGCTGATACTGAACTTTCAAAAATAATCCCTAAGATGAGCGATTACTCAACTTGGCGCTTATGATACTGAAGTTTGTCAACTTCAATGGATTATTTTCCATATTTATTTATTTTTATTCTTAAAACGAATCTCAGGTTCGAAATAACGAGATGCATTAACATACGAAAATAATTTTGCTTAAAGTCATTTCGAGGGTTGCTGTAACAAAAATTGCGAACTATCAGAGAGGTGGGCGGTTACCGGACTTTGAGATAGGTAATTGTCTCCCAAAGGTGCACAACACTGATGATAAACTTTTGTTTAAGCCATTCCGTATCGTATCCATACCTCTGGAAGTATCAAATGTCTTCACGAAAAGTTAATTCAATGAATACTAATCACGAATAGACCTATATAATGCAATGTGCAAAATACTTATTTTGCACACTTTCCAGGAAAAATTCATTTTCAAATTTCATTTTTTTTCTGTTCGAGCAGGTGTCTTGCCCTAGAAGGGATCATGAGTTCCTACCTTCACAGTGTAAAATTCGCTGATGCAAAGGTACACTTTCTTCACTTTCTACAGAATAGATTTTCAAAAACTTTTTTAGGTTTGATTCCTTAGACTTTCTTCTGGCTTTAAACGGGAAGTGGAAGCTTGAGTTTCTTAATAAATGCAATAATTTACTACCTAATAGCTTTTACTGCTGTTAAATTGATCGAAAGTTCCAAATTTTAAACAAGATGTTGGAGAATTCAAAAAATTGAAATTGTCTTGAGTTTTTGAAAAAAATTTAAAAATAATTCTGCCAAAGGTCCCTCCAGACTGCTTTTATTCCTCTTGAAAAGTAACGAGAAAAACCTTCTCGTCTGTAGTTAGAGAAAAAGGCTGGGAAAAAAATAAGAAGAAAGTTTTTGAAAGTCCATCCTCAGAAAAGGGTACCTCAAGGTCAAAAACGTTGTTTGGATTAAAAAAAAAAGTATATTTAAAGTTTTGGATACACAAGAGAATGGTGTTATCAGGCAGTCAGATTTCATTACTCTATGTATCACAAAACGTTGCATAGTTGAGGAAAAAGCGGTCAGATTTTAAAAAAAACTTGTGCTTGAATTACAGCTGAAGATATGTAAAATTTGATTTTTAGTGACCTTGAAAAAAAATTTGATAAAAATGACTCATGACTCTTCTTATATAAGACAAGGCTTTCTGTAGTTTATGGACAGCCCCTCAAGTGTTTGTCCTCGTTTTGATCATGTACTTCCTGTTCGGATCTTAATGCTATCACTGCGGTAAAAAATCAGAACAAAGATGTCGTTTGATGTAAAAGTGAATATATATGAATAAAAAAAATATAACAATTAGAGAAGACATGAGAAACTGAAATAAACAGAGACGGAGGCAGCATAGATCTATCCTCAATTGACGCAATTCGAGGAAATGAAATGATTAAGGCCAAATCATACAACTTTGGCCAAAGGTTCTTTTTCAATTGAAGCGATCATCGAGCAAAAAAGGAAAAAAAATATATTTTAACAAGTACATTCAGTCAAGATACCTGGCCTGCAGGCTGATTATAGAAACTGACAGACAAAGTGATAAAAAAGATAACAAAGAGAAAATGAAAACGGGTCGTTTGCAATTGTCAAAGGAGGTGAGTCAATTTATCAGTAACCCAAGAAAGACCCTATGGTCAGTCTACAGGAGCCACCCATTTAAACAAATAGGATCACTCCACTATTTCTTTGTCTATAGCTTTGTCTGTCAATTTCAAGAATCAGCCAGCAGACTTCCGATTGCAAAATTCAAGTAGTTCCAGAAACATGTAAATCTTGGGGGAGCTCCTTAAGATGAAGGGTTCTAGAACTATATTACACAGCATCCTAAAAACTGCGACTTACTTGATAATATTTACAAAAAATTACTAGACAAGAGTGTGCTTCAGATTAGTAGAGAGAAATCAATCATTTGATGACTGAGAAACCTCACAAGCAAGCTGATTACTGAAATTGTTGGACAAAACGATAGAAAAAGAATACAAAGGGAAAATGTAGCTCAATACAGCCAATGTTTAACTTGGAGCAACATTCAATGTCCCTGGCAGTTAGTTGAGCCTTTTTCAGGCTCAGAATGTTTTCCCGGAAGGACCTTGATCTATTTTGAGTGTAAAAATATTTTGCATTCACTGGAGTTTGTCTGATTTTGAAATGAATTCCAGTTTGACTCTGAAGAATCTCCTTTTAGAAAAGCTTGCAAGTTCCTGCAGACGCGCAGAATTACGACGGCATTGCCCCAAGCATAGTGGCCTCAAGGTCATAGCCGAGTACAAAATTAGGATGAAATACTTTAAAACTTCACTTCATTGTTAAACAGCAGTTTAAAGGAAGAGATAACATCAACTTGAAACATGGAAGAATCAATCGAAACTAGAACTTTTACATCATTATCATCAAAATTATCATCAAACAGTTCTGTTAGCCAATTATGATCCAGCAGAGGAACGTTTCGAAATTTTTAATGCTTCAATCCACAAGGAGCCCTATAGCTAGTTCATCATTTCATCTCTTAGTCCAGAAAAAACTTCCCGTTTCAACCAACAGGATTGCTTTTATTTCGTCTCTGTTTCCTTGGTCTATCAATTTCAATGATCAGCTTGCAGCTTGAGTTTGGGTTAATTGCCTTTTGAAATTAACTGACAGCGCAGCAGTGAGGCTGCGCTCAAGTTAAAATTGGATAAACAAAACTTGGGTTAGAGAGAAACCTAATGCAGTAGAATTTAAGTGCAGTCTGAATACATATGTTCGCGCCGAAATTCATTTGTTATTCCATGATTAAAAGCAGATTAGACGCTGACCGCGAAGAGAGTTCTGATAATGAGCGGCAGGCGTTGGAAAATTTACCTTGCTATCCTTGGATTAGCTATTGTGGTCTTAGTGATGGTAAAAAGCTTCTGTTAATAGCGTTGAAAGTTCTTGACAAAAAAAAACTGCCCATTAAAAGCAATATATCTTAACAATATTGGCATTACTCACAGGAGAAGATGCAAAAAGGGTTATAACACATTTTGTGGGCCAAATTTTTAAGATTGGGATGGGAGACTACTTACGAAATATTGTGAAAGAATGATAAAATATGTGAAAATAAAATATGAAAATCATTTGACAATTTTTGAAAGTACTCTTGCCACATCCAGATGAGGTCTGGACATCCTCTCTCATGCAGTCTCGAGAATATATCCAATAGTAAAACGAAAAGTTATCGAAAAACATAGAGCATGGGCTGACTCTGGGGAACATTGCCAATAAAGTGTTCTATTAACTCTAAGTTACAAGTATGTATACTCACACTGGAAGAAATATAAAGCACCTATCTTCAAAATTGTATCAGATAAGTGCTATTAATGTTACTTGGTATTTTCTCCAGGAGGATGGTTGGACAATTTAACCAGAATCTATCAAACTCCATAAGACATTGTCTAATTGCCTCTAATGATACATTTTTTGAGCAGAGAACCAAACATCACTGAAGTTCGTAATTTTAAGAGTACATTCTTCATGACCTGGGATAAATTCACAGAGAGTTTAAAGGCAATTAGTAGTTTACTTTTCTGTTAAAAAATGCAACACAAAAGAAATTCAGACGACGTTAGACATGGTTAGGCTCTAAATCCATCTTGTTCAAATGATGTGTCTGCAGACCGATTATTGACATTAAAAGACAAAGATACAGAAAAAGAAGACAAAAGGGATATGGAAGGATCCTATTGGTGGAAGGGGGTGGTTGCAATGGACAAAGGAGGTAAGTACCAGAATATTTGACCGCAACCCATGAGAGACCCTATAGTTAGTCCATCATTTTGTCTCTTAGTCTATAGGAACCACCCGTTTCAACCAATAGGATCGTTCTGTACTCCCTACGTCTTATTTGTCTATCGCTTTGTCTATCAATTTTCGATAATCAGCCCAAAGTTAAGTTAAGTTGGCAGCAAAAGAGTGAAAATATTTTGCCATGAAATCAGTAAAACGAAGAAGATAAATTTTCCAACAACTTTCGGCGCTAGAGGAGACAGCTATACAGATATGATTAACAAGTAAACCTCATTGGATCTCAACAACAAAAATATAAAAAATCTCGACTCAAAGCAGGGCTGTGCATGGCTTGATTCAGTGCCCGATTTGGAAGGAGTTTCCTGGCTGCCAGAAACCCAAATTCTCAAATTTTCAGCTTATTATCAGAATGTACTTAGCGCTCACACGAGGTTTACCCGAGAAGAAAAAGTTTTAAATTGGACAACACTGAATTTCTTGCTTTTTACAATACTGTGCAGTAACCTATGTGCGATATCTTTGTTGCTTAACAGACTAAATTAAAATAGTAAAGCACCCATGCGTATTTTCCTGCCAGTTTTGAGCCTGATTGCTCCTATGACAGAAACAGAGAATACCTCCTGTTTCATGAGATTAGACTTAAGGAAAATTGAAATGAGTTTTGAAAAAAAACAGCAAAGGTGTTGCGCTGTGTTTTCCACTCAATACCTAATTTGGCTGACGTATTTAATCTTAACTTTACTTTGGCCCATTATTTTATATCCCATGATTGATGAACTATTGATTACAAAAAAACATGGGACAAAAATGTTGAGGGACAAATTTAATTGATGGACCAAAAAAAAATTTTAAAATACTGATTGGATATAATGAGAATTTCCAAAATCAATTTATAAATAAATTATCAGCAGCACGTCCTAATTAACAGAGATAAAAAAAAAACCCTAATCTCTCGCTTGTTTGATAAATACAGAAGTTTTCAGTCTGTTCACTGCTGTGTTGTGTGAGAAACACTTAAGTGAGAAAAAATATTTTACGATGCCTAAATTTTAAATTTATCTAATGGTCCATTGAATACTTAGATTCTTTTCAATTGCTGGACAAGAGAGAAGAAAAACTTAACCATATGATTGTTTTTCTGGCAAAATTCTGGTGGGAAAGAAATTGAGCAGGCGTTGCATGCTCATTTGGCACTAATAGATCTGAACTACATTTAGCAGTGTGGAACCACTATTTCTGGCTAATTTTAGAAACAACGCAAGTACCAATAGTTTTCTTATACTGCCAACTGCCATGCTAAGGAAAAACACCGTATGAGCATTCAAATATTGCCAAACTTACTCTTAGCAAAGATTTCAATTTGAGGAAGACTATGGCTATTTTTCCTTGAAATTTTCAGATACTTCAGATCAAATTACAAACAAAAATTGACGAAACATCGGATGCAAACATCTACAAATTTCCCTGAAAATTTGTGGTTTGTCTGAGGGAATATGGCAACATCTGAAGGCTCATACAGTGTTCTTCTAAGCCTATTATATTTTTCCACAGAGAAACTAGGTAGCTCGATAGCTTGAAATTCGTTCAAGAAATGGAACGTATTCCCATCAAACAGAACTATGTGCATTATGATGTGAGCCCTGTTATGCACATATGCTTATGGGTCTCAGGGCTAGTGTCTTAATGCACATGGTTGCGTTTGGTAGAAATACGTGCAATTATGCTTACCGGAAAGAAAAACCGAAGAAGTTTTCAAGACATCACGTTAACTAGTTTTCGGAGGAAAAAATTAAGTATGACAGGAAGTCTGTGACATCGCAAACGGAGATACGTGGTTCCGCACTTTGGACCATGGATATATTAGTCCCTTATTGCAAAGTGTAGTACATCCGAGGACCCGGAAGCTATTTTGCACAGCCCTGATTCGAAGAAACAACGTAACTTGAAACTACCTAGAGTAATAGAGCTTCAATGAGTTAACAAATGCATGATAAACAGATCAACGACGGAGGCGGCTCTTTCAGTTGTCCTTGATGAGGTTGCGACGGAGGAGGGCGGCGGCCAGGTCGTCGCGGAGGGCATCTTGGACACTCTGATCCGACAGCGTCTGCACCGATCGAAGGCCATTCACGATGTCCTTCGTCTTGCTGAAGTAGATTTCGTTGAGCGTGTTCCGAATCTTGTTCTCCATGTCTTCGACCAGGCGCCCAATGTTGGCTATGTGCGGGTTGTTCTCCGATACGGCGTTGTCCTGGTCAATCTGCAGCGAGAGACAAACGATTTTTCAGATTTCAGGCTATTCTTGGGGGCCAACCATAAATTACGTAAGGGGTGGGGAGGGTCTAGCGGTGGATGACGCGGAAGGAAAGGGAGTAAAGCCAAGGATGACATGAGCTTTCTTGAAGGTAAAAAAGCTGAAAACGCTTGCTTGAAATTGGAGGGGGGAAATTTTTTTTTTCTTGATTTTTCAATAAATAATTCTAATTTTTCTCAAAGCAATAAAGTTTGCGATGTTTAATTTTTCAACTAGTGATATATCTTGGTATAAACTCTTTTTTTTAAAAAATAGCACAAGATATTTTTAATACTCAATAAAAGAAATTAATCATGTTCTTGACACCGCAGACAATATCTACTGTTTTATATAGATTTTCTGTGTTTTCCCCTAAAGGGAGGAGGAGTACGCTAAGGAAAACGTAATTTTTAGGGTGGGGGGGGGGNCAGGCAGTGGATGACGGTTGTATTCGGAGGGGGAAGGAGGGGGGTCGAAAACTTGTAAAAAATTGGGTGATGGAATTTATGGACAGCTATCATTCCATTTACATGGTTAAAGCAGGCTTGAGAAACAAAACCTGAAGAAAATGGAGGTGATTTGGATAGAGGTTCTACTCTCTTTCAATTTCAAAATCCCTGCGCTTTTCCTTTACTTTCCCCTGCAGTGTTCACAGGAAATAACTCTACTAAAGTGCATCCGCCACAGAGGTGTAACTTAACCACACTGCCGAGACTGTGATCGCTAATGACTTAAAAAAGCAGCCTTTGGCTTGTAAAATCTTGTCCATCTCCACTATCACATAATGCTATTCTATAAAATATTGGGCTTACCTACTAATGTTAAAATGGAAACACTTTTCAAAAGCATACTTCACAGTCATTTCATAAAAATTTTGATTGCTTCATGTGAACAGATCTAATGGGATACAATTGAATAATTCTTTGCCTTCTGAACAACTGCCATTAAAAATTGTTAACCACATTTATCTAAGAAATCAATGCGTGCTATCAACTGTGGGTGGCGATTCAAAATTGAAAGAAGGAACGCAGGCTGATGGTTGAAATTAATAGACAAAGCTATAGACAAAGAGGACATGAGGAGTATAGAGCGATCCTATTGGTTGAAATGGGTGATTCCTGTAGACTAAGGGGGTAAAAGAAAAGACTAACTAAAGCATTTCTCGTGGGTTGCCGTTAGTGAGTCTATTCCCTCCCTCCTACGTCCATTGCAACCACCCCCTTCCACCAATAGGATCCCTCCATATCCCTTTTGTCTTATTTTTCTATAACTTTGTCTATCAATTTCAATAATCAGACTGCAAGCAGCTATCAGCTTTTAATTATTTTTCCGAGTGACTATTTCACTGAACTCTTTTGAGTGAAAGTCTTTTCCTTTTGAATTTTATAGTTAACTTCCAATTCCCTGTATTCTCCCTCCGAGAAGAATTCCCTGAGTTATCCCTGTTTCCTCAGTTTTCCCTGGTGGTAGAAATCCTGTTTAAATACACTTTTCGCTAAGTTTTGGGTTCCCTTTTTCATGACATCATACATTTTCAGGGAGAACTTTTCTCAAGAAAACTTTATCATTTTCATAATTTTACTAAAAAATTACAAATTATATCATTGCACGAGCATCGTCGAAGCGCCTCTTTGAATTTAATGAATAGTTGCATCAAAGTGTATAATAGAATATTCTAACTTCTGTACACCCAAAGGCTTTCTCAAGTTTTTAACGAACTTCCAGGGGTGCAAAGAGTTCTTAGCTTTCCATTGAGAGCCCCTTTTTTCACAAAATTTTCCAGGCTTTGACTTTTTTCTGGGCCTAATTTTTTGTACTTTATTCAGAAATTGATGAAAATTCTGATTTTAACATTTTCAAGAATCCTCTTATCTAGGGAATTACTTAAACAAACAAAAATTTACAAAAATCCATCCGGTAAAACTTAAGAAAAGTATACTTCAGCATTACTTAGTGCATTTAAAATGGTGAAGATAGGGATTAATAACTTTCTTTAATTTATATTTGGACCGCGTTTAGCAGAAAGGAACCAAGCCACATCAGCTATTGCCCAATGTAACTAAGCAATTTAATATTTTACAAGAGAGCAGATGTGCAGATTTTTTTTAAAATTTTAATTTTGCATGGTATTACGTAGAAAATTCACTGAGATACGCAAAAAATCCGCGCAACCGTTTTCATGTATAAAATCTAAGTGCCCAGTTAAATTTGACGATAGCTGATGTGACTTGATGCCTTTCTGCTTAACGCTATCTATTTTTGCAAACCGTCGACTAAAGATTTGGCTTCTGCATTTTTCCCGAATATTTGGATGGATTCTTATTTGTAGTCTATGACTTGAAAAGACAGGAGTTTTGGACCTTCAGAAAACACAAGGTATTTTCATAAAGAACTTGGAAATTTGAATATTTATCAAGGTTTGAATAAAAATGAAATAATTACCTGTCTGGTTAGACTCCCACCCAAATTCATAGTACCCGAACCTGGACGGCTGGTCTGGAGCCAGAGCATGGCAGTTGAGGTTAGCTTATAGTGTGCACTTCTACCAGTTGACTTTTCTTGCACTTCGACGACATGAATAGAGTCCCAGCAACCTTTAATTTTCTTCGATCCATCTCCGGCTTTCTTTATCAATATCACACCTGTTCACCAAAACAGAAACATTCTTAGCAGTGTTAGAATCCGACAGGCGCCAAGCACGAAATGCGCCTGAATATTTCTCATTGGCACCTAAATAAATTAAATTGTGGCCAGAACAGAGCTCTTGCGAGCGCTAGGGATTTGCAATTAGAATACATTTTCTAAAATAAAATTTTGCAAGAAACACAATGGTGCCTCTTGTTTTTCTCTCATATCAACTCCAAAGCTCTCACAGTTGAGATGGTAAGGGAAGGAATATCCCACACTACCCTGAGAGTCCACCCCTACATCAAGATAAACTCTCTGAGCAAAAATAGGAGGCAAATACATGAACACGGCTGCTACCTTGTTTAGGAACTCCAAAACTGAAAACACGGCAACCCTGCTAATATATTTGCTCCCTAACTTTGCATAGAGATCTTGTCTTGATGTAGAGGTGGACTCTTAGGATAGCGTTGGATATCGCCTCCATTCTAGTCTGAACTTTGAGAGCTTTTTTGAGCTTTGGAGTTGATTTTACAGAACACCAGTGAGAACATGATGGTGCCCATCATGTTTCTTACGAAATTTTACTTACGAATCAATACTGAAATCGCAAATTCCTAACAAGAGCTCCATTGGCGCCTAAATATTTGCAGTCAGCTACCTATGAAAGCGCTGAGACCTAGACAAACTTTCTTGATCGATACTGAAATCTATTACGACTCCTTGGGCAGGATTCAATTGAGTGATGGAAAGCTGTGAAAATGTGTAATCAGTTAGAAGAAGCCAGATTCTGGGGTACCAAAATACATCTGGTTCCCATCATTCATTATTGCAGAAAAAAAACAAACATTTTGGCCCTTAAATATTGACCAAGCAGGGCAAAGTAACCCCTAAATTTCTCTTTGGCGTTCGATAACTGATTTTTAGGCGACCTCAAAGGGAGTGTCTAACCTTTTGCCTTACAATGACTAATATAGTCTTCATGAACATTCTGGGACAAATCTGAAAATCTTAGATTTTGAAGCACTAACTCTCAACATTTTGAGTTTCAAAGTTGCTTGGTTTTCTGTTTAAAAAATGAAAAATATGGGAGTAAACTATGCCAATTCTGATGTAGTTGGGTTGATCCCAGTTAGAAGTGTCCATTTTTGCTGAAAAATCTCACACTTTGCACGAGAACTAAGTAAAAAATTTGAGTCCAAAGTCTAGCAATAGCAAGTTTAGCAAAAAGTGTTTCAAAGTTGGAAAATGCAAAATTTGTGGGCTTATTCTTCATAGAATGAAAGAATTTTAAGGTTTGAAAATAAACGCTTGTAACTGTTCCCACATGTATAGTTGCCTCCTGCACAAAGAAACATACATATCGACGGTGAAACTACCAAACCACGTATCTCGTTTGCGGTGTTTAAAAATCTACGCTCGCATTTTATTTTTTTTGAAGACGACCAAATCAATATCATTCCTTGAGATTTTCACAGAATTTCCTCCGCACAAAGAGGAAAAATCACAGAAATTTTCAATATTAGACGTTAAGTAGTTTTTCATTTAAAAAATAATGTATGACAGGAAGTTTGCGACGTCGCAAACCGAGATACGAGGTTTGGTAGTTTCACCGTCGATATCTTGATTGCAATGTGTCAGTATTTCTATCTGTCATTTTCTTTTTTTACAAAGGAATCTTCACATTAATTTTCCTGAAACCATCGGTTCTTTTCCTTTACATTTGCAAGTGAGGGCACTAAAATTTTCAGAGAAATTAATACGATGGTTCTTCCATGAAAAAATGAAATGTTTCTATTAATACCGAAGTAGCATGCACAGGATGCGTTCCTCTGTGCATGAGACAATGATAACAATGTTTAAAGAAAGTATTTGACATCCCTTAGGGTTGCTATGTTTTTCTGAGCCATTCCTGACAGCTTTTTCAGAACCAAAATTAAAGACTTCTGAGATGGAAATCTAATTGGTAAAATGGTTAAAGGACTTACACAAACTTTATAAGAACACAACAAAAATATTTTGACTGAGTTCACTACAGCTTTCGAAAATAAAAATCAGGAGCTTTCGAGCACTTTCCTAGGCGGTCTGATTGTAAGAATCATAGATTTCAACGACTTTTTAGGGTATATACACAAATTTAAAAGCGTTGGAAAAGGCTTTGGGCTGAGATTTTTTTTCTTACATCTTCATCTCCTGCGCGTACTTCAGTAAGTAAATAAATGTCATGCATAAAATGCTATTTAACAATGTGAAATTCATAGCAACAAAAGAAAAACAGACCGGTCATTCAAACAATCTTGAAAAAAATAACTTGATGCTATACCATTTAAGATTCTATTATGAAATCATTAAATAACGGAGCTGGAACACTAGTCAAAATCATTAAAGATTTGGTACAAATTTTTAAAGACCTCGTTAAAAATTTAAAATAGCTGTGCAAATTTCAGAGGGGATCGCACCTTCATCTTTGATATGGTAACCAGCGTAACAGTGTACATTACTGAAGATAGAAGTGCAACACCTCTGAAATGCATACAGTATTTTAAAATTTTTGACAAGATATGAGTTTAAAAAATGTTTAAAGAAACGTTACTGTCCGGTGAGCATATTTGAAAAGGTTTGCCAAAACTCAACGACTTTAAAAGAAACAAATTCACGTTACTTTGTTGGTGTTTTAATTCACTCTTTGTCTAGAGCCATTGGACTGCATTTTGCAATTAGAAACTACAGTTTTGAGTTAATCTATTAAAGCACCTATCTCCATGGGGAAACTAAAGGCACATAACGGTGGCAAAAGAGCACAACCACGTATTCCCGTTTGTGACATTGCAGACTCCTCCTGCCATACTTCTATACTGCCATACAGTAATGGCAGTTCTGTTATGCTTAACTTTAAAACCAGTCTATGTAATTTCTAGAAAACTTTTTAGATTTTTCTTCTTGTTGGCAGAATATTCTGTAAAAAATTTCGAACTAATAAGTTGTCTTGTTTATTTGGTAACACAAAATAGGAGCAAAAATTTTGAAAAAATACAGTAGAGATACATACTTTTGCTCTTTGGCTCTTGATACATTGTTCTTAAAATTAGGCAGAAATAGTCGTCCTGTATTGGAAAATGAAGTCTAATTTTGTACTAAGCAATAGTTGCAAAAATTTTGCCCTGTTCATAGCTGCACTGACACAAATTCTGTAATTTAGAACTAAAATAAGAGAGAAGCTGAAAGAATTTACCAGCAAAACCGTGCTCCAGGTCCCACAGGTAAACAGATGAAACGCCACCCTCAAAGTACATCTCACGGTACTGATCGAATGCATAATTAGCATCTATCTCCAGTTTACGGAGTCGTTCAGAAGGCATGGATCCATCGTCCAAGGGTGGATCATAGGTATTGCTCCATGGCGACCTAAAATCACAAGATTCATATTATTGGAGTATTATATCGTATTAGTATCAATAGTCTGTCATGAAGTAAAATTGCATGGTCACCTTAAGCAAATCAAGGGGCAGATTATTGTAAATGATGAACACAGAGGAAAAAAAAAAATAAAGGGATCCTATTGGTGGACGCTAGTGGTTGCAATGGACAAACGAACAGCAACCTAAGTCCGTCATTTTTTCCCTTACTTTGTCTCCAAGCAGCACCAGTTTCGGCAAATGGATTCTTCGGAATTCGTTATTGTGCCGTAGCTCCTCATCCCGACCCATCCTTTCAATTTTTTCCGAAGGAAAAAATAATAAGAGAGGAGGACGGATTCCTCTGATAATTTAATTTATCTGAACATGATTGTGTAACTTTCTTGCACTGAAATATTAATGTGTCAAGATTCTCAGATATACAGTAAAAAGACTAAATAATAGAAAAAAAGGCGCAAGTCAGCACCTGTAAGAATCGCCATCTCTATTATAATCGCAGAGAAGATAATCCTTGCCGGCTTCTTTGTCCCGTGCAATTTTCAGCGGCTGATCTACTGAGGATAGCAAGTCTTCGCACAGGTCAGGAACTAGGTCAATTAGATCACTTAAGTTTTTTTCCACTTGCTGCGGGGGAAGTCTCCGCATTAAATCTAAGGCACAGTCCATTTGAAGTTCAGTCTGGAAAAATTTATGAAAATTGAGGTTAAATTCTTTGTAAAATTCCTTCAGAGAACCACTATTGGTCAGCTGAGGAAATTGATACTTCAAGATTACTTGCGCTGAGAGCGAGAAAACAATTTTGACTGTACTCATCTGAGTTCCATTATCCAACCATTTGCCTTTGACATTAATCTAGGAACAGGTGGACTCCCTTGAGGGAGTGCACTTTTTTCATTTGTTTGTGTAATTGGCGTAGCTCCCAAGTACAAAGGCAGATGTAAAAGGCACTCAAATTTATTTGAAAAAGGTTGGAACTACCTGAAAGTGAACAGCACAGACTTTCAACTAATTTTCTCCAATTTCAGAGAAAAGTTATGCAAAAGTTTTTCTACTGTCTTCGCTTCAAAAATGAATATTGTTTGAGGATTTTATACAAGAATTTTGGAGTTTTACCCCTTGCATTTCAGAGTTTAGTCGTGCTAGAGTTTACTCTTATCAAAGAATATTTCTGACTGATTTGTTTCTTAATATTAAGAGGATGTTTCACGGTTTAAATTCCTATTCCAAAGATTTTCTATCTAGAAATTCACGAAAGTACTTATAATTTCAATAGCTGAAAATTTTTTAGAAAATGAGTTACCATTCAGTAAACTTTCGGGATAGAATTCTATATACTTCTAAAATTAAGACCTGGTGACAATATAAACTGGCAAGAGGGAATACAAGGATTTCACTCAATCTATTCAGATAGTATCAGGAATTATTTGAAGCCAAACTCCATGTCTAGTATCAATACTTTGAGGGCGGTATAAACAGTTATAGAAACTGATATTGAACAAGATATTGTCATCGCTGGAATTCACTCATCGATAGTTGAGACAGTCGCCATGTCTTATTTTGGTTATCACATCTGGTCAAAACTCAGCCTGGTGTTAATTTTTTTAAGGTCTGTTGATATCCATGCTTTGTAGTTGTAGAAGACGAACATCCAATTAAAAAAGATCATTTCAAGACCTTAATTCCTCAGTGATCGAACTAACCTCATGAACTAGATTCCTACCTCAGATCACATTTCAATAGCTATGGGTAAAAGTAGGAAAAATCTGAAAGCACTCACCATTATGATGTTTAGCTTAGTTAGTAACCGAAAATAGAACCTTATTTTGCACTTTCACTTAGCTTTGAATTTTCACCTTTCCTAAGAAGTTCTGCCGCAGTAACCTTACTTTGAGTAAAAAATATTCGCGATTCGCGATCCAAGTCCAAGATGGCGGAAAATGTTTACATTGATGAGTCATGTATGTCCAAATACTGGTCTAAAAATGTTTACTGTAGTCGCCTGTGGAAAAATAGCTGGTCCACTGAATTTTTTGAATGAATGTTGATTATGAAATTTTTTCATTATTCTCTGCCCCAAAATATTGCTCATCTGCCCGAGAGAGATGTAGATTGTTTCGTCACGTAGTATATTAGCAACAGTGTTCTTTTGTTTTGCAATGTTGGCACATTCGACCGCTATTCTAGAGGCGGTAAATTTAAAACGGAATGATTCCCTGCCTTACCGTACGATTGGACTAACAATCCACTTTGCCACGAATAAATATGGATTGAGAAAATTCTGGCACGGTTGTAATTTTATCTGGGCAATACACCATTCTGTCTGAAACTGTTAGCTTTGGGAATGAACAAGCACTTTTAAAATTATTTGAATTTGCTTCAGCAAAAATCTCTCTTCAGTGTCTTCAGCTGCTTTATGTGTGCGCATATCTGAACATTCTTGGATATACAGTTGTTATATTTTCGAGCTAACTTCCTAGGAAAGATAGTTTTATTTGGAAGGCTAGAACTGAAATGACCCTGACTACATCAGACGTCGCCTAATTTTCTCTCTTGTTTAATTTTTTAAATAAAAAACTTTTAAAAAAAAGAATTTTTTTTTAAAAAATAGGACACAAGAGGAAATTAGGCAACAAGAATTGCAGTTGGGTTAGCTCCCATTTTATGCGTCCATTTCTCTAGGGTAACTTGGGAGGCCAATAACGTTTAGAAGTTGACAGTCTAACATTGCCAGCTATAATTGCAACAAGACAAGGTGCAGTCCTCGCTCAGGGTGGAGATTTAAAAGGAAGGTGGTTCATTTTAAGACGCTTTTGACGAATCAAAAGTATCAAAAGCTCAATTGATCTATTAAAGCGTACGGATACAGCACGTGAAACAGAACTAACATTATGTGCAAACAGATTTTCATACCTAACTCGAGTTCCCGTAAAGCCAACGCAGTAGCATAAAGTTTCTGAGAAAAATGCACCAGAAGTTGAGAAGATTTTACATTGATTCAAATGAGACCTACTTTTCACCTTAGTTCGTCGTTTCCCGTAAGAAGGATCGCAACTTCCTTCCAAAGTTGCAAAGTTAACTCAGATACTTTTAATTACTAAGAAGGATATGCCCGAGCACTTTTTGTCAACATTTTTTTTTATCTTCGTACGAGATCGGAAGAAAGATCAAGGAAATTTTCGGTTAGAAAAAACGAAGATTCTCTTGGTAAGTAAAAATACAATTGGACTTCATTTTGCAATTTGGACCTATAAATTCTGGCTCATCTGAAAAAACACTTATGGGCATAGGGAAACTAATGGCACATACGTTGTTTTTAAACCGGGCCAGAATTTATAGTTCCAAATTGCAAAATGCAGTCCAACTAATGAGGGTAAATTTGGCAACATTGAAACCCAGTTATGTTCTTTCTTGAGGAAAACGATGAATTGCAGTATTTTAGATGAATATGCAGGGAATACCAAGAAATTCAGAGCTGCTTTTTTATTATAATTTTATAGGATGTTCCTCACAGTCTCTCGAACTCGGTAAGCTTTTAAGACTCTTTTCTGTAACATCAGGTGATTTTACCGACTATGAAATAGAGCCCTAGACTGAAAGTGAACTGAGACTAACTTTCCTAGCTGCACAGAATATTTTGAAACAACTCTAGCACCAAAAATCATGATCTTTGAGAGACGTTAAGAATAAGGAGCACCAAGGCTTATAAGTGTTTGATCCTAACAACTTTGCAAAATGGGCGCATTAATTATGACAATGCTTCCTGCTACATTTTATTTCTATGAAGGACACATGGTATTAGAATCATAAAAATAGTATGATTTTCCGTTGACAATTTTAAAATTATTCTCTACAGGTGCCTACTTGCTTTTGATATTTTAGAGATTGAATCATGAAGACAATTTATTAAGATCTATTTAGACTAGATGATGTGTTTTTTTGAGGAAAGGTTTGAATTGATGGCTTAAGATGAGAACTGCACTTCTCGGAATGCGACATTAGAAGTTTCCGCTCATGTTTTATTTTTTTAGCGGGAAAACTAACAAGGAGTTTCTAATGAAATTTTTTGTGAATTTTCTTCTATCATTCTAAAAAAATCACAAAAAATTACAATGAAATATTCTGATAGGGATTCCTTTAAGAAAATATAACATAATCGAAAACTTTCCAACGTTGCAATAGAGATAAGCAAGAGTACAGAAACTTCCCGATCACGCGATTATTATCAAGTGGCTGCTTGTATGGAAAAAAAAAAAACCATTTTTCTTTCCTTTTTTTTTATTCATGAGCGATAAATAAGTTGATAAATGCTCACAGGGAAAATAAACACATACAAGAGATAACATGATGTGACCAATAAATAAAATTAAAAAAATATAAAAGTTTAACTTAACAAGATAATACAATTTTAGAGGATGAAATTTGAGTATGGTTGATGAATACGAGGTTGAGTTCAGCAGCTTAGCTCTGCTAAGTGGAATGAAAATAAATTAAGATAGAGCTTTTGGTACACCTGATTTCCATTCTTCGAGGAGCAGAAATCAGAACAAGACTGATTGCTAATTTCGGATGCTTCCACACTCATCATTTGGTGGTTACTATTTGAAAACCTCCTTTCAAATGAGCTGCTTTTTGGACAAACAGTAAGAAAAATAGCATAAAAAAATATCACACTTACGAACCTATACAATCAGGGTGTTTTTCCTCGAAGAGTTTAAGTCTGTTTTGAATAAATTAATGTAGGTACTTAAATTCACTAAGAATAAAAACACAACTGAGATTCAATTGAAATAAAAAAAATAATCAAAATTTAATTTGATTGAAAATTAATTAAAATGTAATGGAATATAAAATTTTTTTTGAAAAATTTAATAGTCGCAAGCAACATTTTCTTCAATTAACTATGGTCTGAATGACAAATAAGGATGAAAATCCCTGTGATTGTTAAAAATAGCATCGGAAAAAAATCACTAGTATTTTTCAAAAATATTCATCGATCGGTTCACAGGTAATTTAATAAAATATTGTGAGCAAATTTAAAATAAATTCATGGACTTAAACTCTTCTGCGGGAAACTGATAAAATTATACATCATAGGAGACATACTGAGAAAAAAATTATTGGTTGAAGATCTATGGTGCAGACTTTTTGAGACAACACCACAATGTAAAGGAGTGAAATGCGTTCAAGAGGAAAAACATTACGATGATCAAAAGGGATAAACTAGAGTAAGAGATGCAAGATCGACTGAATAACATTTAGCAGTAAGGAACTAATATTTTCGGCTTAAACATTTAGAGGCACTTGTCTCTATGCATAATCTAGTAGTATATATGATGTTTCTCAAATAAACCAGAAATAGTAGTTCCTTTTTGCAAAATGGTGTGCAACTACCAAGTGATTACTCTTACTTTCAGCAGTGCCTATAAGTCTGGACTGTTCCAAATGATACAGAGAGATAATTAAAATATTTTCCATGGAACAGTGCTGAGGTTAAATTAGGAGCCCTCTGATGATTAGTAACGATAAGGGTTGACGGAAGACTTCATGTAAGTGAGAGAAACGGAATGAAGGAATAAATAAATGCTGCTGGCCAGAAATTAGTGACGGATGGATGACATTAGCGTAGGATCAGAGCGATTTTTCACTCTTCATCTTTTTCTTTGGCACCATGTTTGAGGATACGGGTGAATTCGATGTAGTCGAACATGCCGTTCTTGATCGGGGCTTCGCGGTACATTTCATCGACCTGAAACGAAGAAATTGAAGCTGTAAAATGATCTGTTGGTTGACAAAAAAAACTGTGAAGGTAAAAATGAGACCATCTTCAGGAACTTCAGTCCGTGGAAGCAAAAAATTCAACTGACCGATTTAACTACAATTTGCAATTAGGAACTACAATTCCTGGCTCATCCATAAAAACATGCATGCGCACAAGGAGACTGATGGTATAATGTTGTTCCTAAAGTGAGCCAGAAATGTTAGTTCCTGATTGCAAAATTCTTCCGATTGGACGGATTAATTGGAACCAGCATTGAGCATTGCCTAATTTTCTATGATGTTTCAATTTTGAAATAGAAACCTAGGCAACGCTGAGACTTGAATTTGAGAGTATATTCTTTAAAGTGAAGGTAAATTCACAGAAAGTTCAAAGGCACTGAGTAGTTTGGTTCAATGTTATAAAGATCAAACACGAGAGAAAATTAAGCAATGTGAAAGCAGTAAAGGCTTAAATCCATCCAATTTCTGCTAGGCTATGTCGAAAGTCTAATCCTGAGATTTCGACAGAAAACTTGCTTTAGTGTTCTAGACAAGGTCCAATCACAAAGATCAGGATCGGTTAATATTAGAAGGCTTAGCATTAGAAATCAGAAAAAAGGGATTCGGATGGTGGAAGAGAAGAAGAAAAGGGAGAAAAAAGAAAAAGGGAAGAAGAGGGAAAAGAGAAGAAAAGAAAGAGGCTAATGTAGAGGCAGAGGAATGAAAATAAGAGAGAAGAATTTACTTCTATTTCATCTCTTTCTCCTACTTCTTCCTATTTTTCTTACCCTTTTCCTCTTTAGATTCTTCTTCTTTCTCTTCAAACTGCAGACTTCAGTTGAAGCCCTCAGAAGGGAGGATAATGTACCAATGTAAAATAAACAAATAAAGGGAAAGGTGTCACTTACATCCTCATCTGAGAACCTGTCACCCATTGATGTGAGCAACTCTCGAAGGCGTTCTTCGTTGATGTATCCGCTGTTGTCATCATCAAAGCAGCCGAAGGCATTTTTGATGACGTCTTCAGGGTCAGTACCTTGAAGTCGCTCTCCGAACAGTGTTAAGAACATGGTGAAGTTGATAGGACCAGGGGCATCATTCATCATCGCTTCTAGATATTCGTCTGTCGGGCTTTTTCCTGCAAAAACAATACAATTTTACACGTTTTCTTCTTGCCAACAACAATGAAAGTAGGGATTGCTGAGAATAGGTGAATTTCAAAGGCTAAAAAAAAAAATCTTCAATTGCTTGTATAAAGTTACCAAGACTGCGAATCACTGAGACCAAATGATGAAAATGGCCTAGAAATTATGGAGGCTGAAATTTTTGGTTTATTCCCCCTTATTCTAGGGATTTCAGATTTTTAACACATCCAAAAAAAACTAAATATTTAAAAAACTTTTGATTAGCAAATTGAGTAAACGTTTTTGCAAATTGCAGCGCACTGGACCTTCTCAGACAATCTGCACCCCCGAGGTCACCTTATTCGTTCAATTACAAAAAAATTATTCTACGCTGTGATAGAGAATAAATTTTTTCTTCTTTCTCCCAGACTAAACTTAGCTAACAGTTCAAAACGTTGGCAATTGCCGACAGGAGGAAATAAAAACAATTCCTCCCTTCTTTTTCATGGGATGTCTGCACCTCTTGACTCACTTTGATTCCTGACATTTTGACATGTTTATGCTAGATAAAACAAACTAGGTATTCATAAAAGCATTAAAGCAAAAGAAACTACGTACGTATGTATGATTTGCAAGCTTTGAAGTTACTTTCAAAAGTGCATATTTGTAATCTTCGGTGTTCTATTTGGATACTTCATCAAAATTACGAGAAAAAAGGGAGCAAGGCACTCACCAAGTGATGCAAGCATGTCATGTAAGTCTTCTTTGTCTACAAAACCATCTCGGTTCTGGTCGATCATGTTGAATGCCTCTTTGAACTCTTGGATCTGCGCCTGATCAAACATTGCGAAAACATTTGAGGTTGCCCGCTGGGCACGCTTCTTGGTCGTCGCACGACGTCCGGCTGTTTTGCGAGACGACATTCTGTACCTGCACAAATTCAACGTATAATTAATAAAAATCAATTGAGATATCAAGTGCTTTTGCTAATAATGTCATTGTTAAAGTGAGTTGTAAAAGGAGCGGTTGTAGTAGACCAAGGGGGGATATTCATGGACTAACTACACGGTTTCTCAAAGGTTGCCATTGGTCAGTCTATCCTCAATTTCTCCATTGCAACCACTTTCTTCCAGCAATAGGATCGCTCCTTTTGCCCTTTGTCTATCAATTGAGATAATCAGCCTAATGTTGTGATTCCTTGTTATAGATGAAGAATAGTGTGAGGGCAAACGAATGGACGGGCAGGGATGGAGTAGAGATTAAATATGAGCAGGATAATGGTATCCTTCGACTAGTAGAATCTATAGGTACTTAATGAGTTACTGAAGAAGTCAGATACCTGGAAATCGTATACATGAAATATTCCATTCTCATGACTTGGCAAAGTCGCGACCAATAATTTCAACCAATACTGAAGTAATGTACCTTTAAATGTCACATTCTATCCTGAAAATGAGATCCCAACAGTATTGCAACTGCCCCCATGGCAGGGCGGGCATCGTTGTGCGAGAAAATTTGAAGGCGGAAAACCGGTAGATAAGAATTCAGTGCTAGAATTGTGGGACTTCAGCATGTCTCTCTTGGGAGAGGATGTATGTTTTCCCATGGACAAAGGGCTAGGGATATGGTCAACGTCAAAGAGAAGAATCCATACATATGGTGATCGAAGGGAGATATGTATAACCTACATCACAATGAAGAACAGGAAAATGGTCACTAAATGGAGTGTGAGAATAATGAGGGGATTGGATATAGGAGAAATAATGAAGAAATTCGATGATACTTCGAAGAGATGCGAAAAGTAAAGAACAAAGCAATCTGATTCATAAACTTACGTGTATTCGGAACTGATTCGGAAAAGTGACTGGTCGAGAATGTCGAGAACCTCCTAACGAGTGAACGAAATACCGCGGTCTCCTGACAAATTGAACAATTGAACCAAATTCGGAGAAGCTAAGTTGAAGGAAACAATTTAGTCGCGTAGAAAAGAGACAATAGGATTAAATACGGTTGCGAATTTCAGTTGCTACACTCCCACTTTTCGTTGGCGAAACTTCAGATAAAGACGAAGACGAGAATGAGTCATCCTAAAAACATCAACAAACTTTATGACGTCATTTGATAGGTGTTGCAATGTTGCCGAATCAAGCCTTAGTCAAGATTTAGTCGTTAGTAGTTGCCAGGTTGTGCGTTTATTCGCCGATATCGAGGCACCGCTTTGTGCCGACCGAAGTGGAGAGTGATATTTCGAGAGGAATAAACTCCTCAAAATTTGGTAATTTGTTTTCGGAATTATTAATATTACACCCTCGGAAGTTCCTAAGTGATTTAGATTTCTGCTGCTGATGCAGCAAGTGAACGCTACCCTAATGAGGTGCTGCGTACACGAGGGGGAGGGGGGGGGTTAGAGAGACATATTGGTCGCATTCAGCAAAAAGGAACCAGCGCGATTACAGTGTTTCAAAAACGTTGCTTATTCTTTATAATTATCTGAAGAATCTCCCAGAATGGCAAATACTTAACTTTGGCTTCCCGTCAAAAACTTGTTAATTCTGAAGAAACATAATTGTTTTTTTTTTTTCTTATCTTTTATTTGTTAACAAAACTACCTACTTAAGTATTAATTGTTTTTACATGAATATAGAAATAATTGTGTAAATTTCAACACTGTACAAATATTAAGTAGGTATTTTTAAAAGAAAATGAGAATTGTTGTTCAATTTTGAAAGCACTGTACCTAATCTCGTTGGTTCCCCTGGTAAAAATTGGCAGTAGAATGTGTGTTCCAAAATACTATAGACCTAAAGCCGGCTGTAAGATTTCCATTAGCTTCTGTAGCCGGCTGTACAATTTCTTACAGCCTTTTATAGCCGATGGCGATTAAGCAACAGCCAGGCGATAAAGTTTATGCTAAACGTTACTAAATACGGATACTAGGGCTTAGTTAGTTTTTGGACTACCGCTCTCATTTTGTGCCGTAGTATCTTGATTTATTTTGCGAGGAAAGCTCCGTACTTTCGAAGGATGCCTGTCATTCTTAGTATGTTGGAGCGCCTTCAATTTCTTATGATACTGTGCAATACCTCTGGTGTGAAATAGTTGCTTCAAGCGCCGCGGTACGCTGCGGCGCGGCCGCGGCGGGCGGGCAGCCAGTGCTGAACGCGCATTGGCGCCTGCAAACCTAACAGGGATACTTCACGCATTGCGCAATGCGTGAAGTATCCCTGTTAGGTTTGTAGGCACCGGTGCGTCGCCGCTCCGCTTTGTGTTAGGCTCTAATATTTAATCTCGAGGAGTCAGCGTTTTTCAACTCATGACTTTGAAATGTTAGCATACTCTGTATGGATTATTCTCATTTTAATTGATGAAAAAAAATATGTAGTAAAGGAAAATATAATGGGTTTTGTAAATATTGAGGTGATTCCGTACAAACTTAAGGATTTACAAAGCACAAGAATTTCTACACAATTTCTTACAGCCTTTTATAGCCGATAGCGGAACTGTCTTGCCTAACATTAGCCTAACATGGAAATGAGGAATACCCTTTTTATGTAATTAAAATAAAATCGGTGGATTTTTAATCACCAAAACGATTTCTAGGAGTCTTTCGAATGATTATAGGGGCAAATGGACAAAGAACGGAGGCTTCTTTCAATAAAATACTCCGGTCAGAGACAGGGTTGCCGCAGAATTTAGAAAATGAGATTCCCTGACATTTCCCTGATTTCCCTAACACATTATGGTGAAATTCCCTAACAATTGAAGATGTGACGGATGGTTGACAAGGCAAAATTGAAAATAGTTTTCGGGCAAATTTTTTTTTTTTTTTCAAAATCTCGAACCCATCCTTGGAAGCAAATGAGGATGATTAACCAAATTTTCCCTAACATTTTCGTCATTTCCCCTGACATTTCTCGGTTTTCCAGACTCTTTCAAATTCCCTGGCATTTCCCGGTTTTCCCAGTTATCCCTGACTGTGGCAACCCTGGTCAAATGCTTCTGAGCCCGTTTTCTCAAAGCTTCATTCATGCATTCACTGCTCTCTTCGCTATCACGGCAGAGATGTTTGGCACAGAGAAAAAAAAGGAGGTGTTTGCATTTCGGGCATCTTGGAATTTTTTGATGACTCGATGACGTAGGTGGGTGCAGGCGACGTTTTTATCCTGTCGATTTTCTTGGAAATGGTGTAATTTAAGGAAAAAAGTCATTCTATAAAAAGTGCTTGAAATTATATAATGAGTTGATTTAAGTAAAAAAATCGGACATTATGGTCCGTTTTTCATATTTAGCTAAACGTCGCTGTACCCACCTACGTCAAGTCATCAAAAAATTCCAAGATGCCCGAAATGCAAACACCTCCTTTTTTTTCTCTATGGATGTTTGGTACACTCACAATATAATAGGAGAATCCGTCGAAATCACACAAAAAAAGGAACACAATATAGGGATCACCAGGCGGGAACTGAACTTGGAAAACGGGATATGGCGGAAATCGTTTGAAACTAGGTGAGACTCGAGGAGCGGAGGTCGGGCGCGGGACGGTAGCGAAGGAGGCGAGCTTTACTGAGCCTTGTTGCGGCAACGCGAGCTGGCCGCGGCGCGGCGGAGCCTTGCGTCGGCCACTCTCACTCTTCCCATAAATGGTCGCGAATTGGAGCTTCCCATAAAAGGCCCACGGTCAACCGCACTGGCAAACGCGCTCATTCCGACAGCATCAGTGGCGTGACGTGAATTGCGATATATCGATTGATATGCCGTTTAAACCTATGAAAAAAGATCGATTATCAGGGTGTTCGCAGCGAACACCTTAGTAATCGATTCTTCACCATAGTTTCAAATGGCGAGATATCGATAATCGATTATTCACGCCACGCCACTGTCCGACAGCATCCGTCCGCAACTTTGGCACCAGACACAAATACTCCTGTGCTAGGCAAGAACGCCGTATGAACATTCGAGAGTTGCCAAATTTCCCCCGAATAAAACATGTGTTCTGCCGTGCTAAGCTCTGGAAAAAAACCGCTTCGATCTAGAGTCCAGACTCTTGAAAACAATGACAAAAAAATACTCTTGATTCAATTGGATTTTTACTCGAATCAAAAGGAAATCCGCTTAATTTAAGAGGCTGGGTTCTTGATTTAAGCAAAAATCCGATTGAATCGAGAGTATTTTTTCTTGTCATTGTTTTCAAGAGTCTGGACTCAAGATCCAAGCGGGTTTTTTTTCAGTGAGGAAAAACGCCGTATGAACGTTCGAGAGTTGCCAAATTGCTTACAGTAAAGTTTTTATTTTTCAAGAGAGATAAGAGTCTCTTTCCTCGACATTTTCAGGGACTTCGGGTGACATTGCGAACAAACTTATCTGAAAAATTGGAGGGAAAATATTCATAAGTTTACTAGGAAATTCGTGTTTTATCGAAGAAAATTTGGCAACGTCTGAAGGTTCTTACGCGTTTTTCCTTAGCACGGCAGTATTCTTGACGACATTCATGCACATTTTTCTTTGACATTTTCTGATATTTTTGATTGAATTGCGCACAAAATAGTCTGACATTTTTGGGGAAAAAATATTCACCATTTGCCAAGTAAATTCGGGTTTTTATCGAAGGAAATTTGGCAACGTCGAAAGGCTTATACGGCGTTCTTCCTTAACGTGGCAGAATACGTACCCTCAAAACCTCCCAGAGATTGGGGGGGGGGGCGGAGGGGCTGCGAAGCTGTCAGGAGGCGTAGCCCCTTAGTTGGAGAAGAAATTTGATTATTCTCGATAAATGATATCTCTACATTTCATAATTGCACCGGGAAATTAAACACATTGGATCTAGAGTCCAGACTCTTAAAAACATTGACGGGAAAAAGTACTCTTGATTCAATCAGAATCCAGCTGAAATCAAGAACCAAGCCTCTTAATTTAAGCGAATTTCGTTTTGATTTAAGCAAAAATCCGATTGAATCAAGAGTATTTTTTTCTTGTCAATGTTTTCAAGAGTCTGGACTCTAGATCCAATGTGTTGTTTTTCCCAGTGTGGGATTTTACTGTTTCTAGGCGTTCCGTATGACATACTGAGTTCATTACAGAAGTTTTAAAAAATTCCATGAAATTTTGTTTTTAATAACGGTTCATGAAATTTTACGTCTATGCGCCCCCCCCCCTCCACCCCGCCACCC